AAACTTTCCCTGCTCGAAATTATGTAGGGGCCTTAATACTTGGAATAGGGTTTGGGGGTATATTATGCTAGCATAACAAGAAGGAGCCCCCCAAAATAGTATAGGTAATTGTTTAGGCCCCTATAGTACCCATGAAATCAGGCCATAGGGGCAAGGTCGACAAAGCAGCAGAGTCCTTGGTTGGCCCGGGGCTGCAAGATTTAGGGTTTAGGGTTTAGGTTAACGTGCCGGCGCCTTTAAAAAGCAGGCCTTAAAATTAGGTCAAGTTTAGGTTTAGGGGTTTCAGCACATAGATGCTGTTTTGTTTGAACGCTCAACTAGGCTTATGGATTCGCACCTCTAAAACCCTAAGCCCTGACATAGGGGCTTCAATCATAATTGGAATAGGGTTTCGCAGATGTGACAGCGACCATGGTTCAGGGTCTAGCTGTTTAGAGTTTAGGGTTTAGGGTAGCGCGAGATGGGGCTTACTACGGCACTAATCAAAGCTAACCTGCCGGCTCTGGATGCCCCAGACTGGAAAGGCGATCCATAAACCTTTTTGAAGATTGTTTGGGGTCTAGTTAGTGGCTTAAGGCGCTCAAAAACAGCAGAATCCGAATACCCCTACGCCCTACACCCTGAACCACCTACCGTGACCCAGACTGCACACTTCGGGTTCACGGTTTGGGGCTTAGGAGAACCTCAGACTGAAAACTCGCGGGATTTGCAGCATCACGGACTAAGCCCTCAACCCTAAACCCTGAACCCTATCCCCTAAACCCTAAACCCTAAACCCTCAACCCTAAATCCTCAACCCTAAAACCTCAACCCTTCCACATCTTCAGTCTCAACCTTCAAACCTTCAATCGGAAACACACCCAAGTGCAGGAGAAACAAGCATAAATAGCAATGAGTAGGAGTTAGGATTAGGGGACCCTTGGAGATATAGACCCTCTCCACAAGGTCCCTTTTCATAGAGCCAGAAGTAGGGTTCAGAAGGGTCTAGTTACTAGTACTACCTTGGAATAAACAGTAATGAGTCCAAGAAGTACGTACTTCGAACGAGGTACGACAGGTCCCAGAACAGTTGAAGATTAATTTTGAGGGGAAGACGATGGTCCAAACCCTAAACCCTAAACCCTGCATGACTCTATCGAGTTCCAGTGGCTGTAAGCATAGAGTTGAATTTTGCTGAAGCCTATTGGGAGTATCTACGGCCTCTAGGGGCTGTGCAATGACAACCAGGAACCTCATTATACCCTCAAATAGCGGCATACTTCCCAAACACTGGGTGTTTAAGGTCTAATAAAGGATAGATGGAAGGTCGAGGAGTGCTGCTAAGTGTTGATGCTCGTCTTTTGGCATGAGATAGCAGTCCTTCACGCTCAAGTCTCCGCTTTCAGACCTATCTTCACCCTAAACCCAAAACCCGAAACTCCTAAAGCTCGAACCCCTAATATGGGCCTCAATAATTGGAATAGGGTTTTGGGATATATTATACTGTGATTTTAATACGGAGCCCTCACAATAGTTTTGGTAATTATTGAGGCTTCTGTAGTACGCAGTGCAGACTTGAAGTTGTAGGGCGCATGGTCTAGACATGAAGGCCGAGAGTTGGATGCCAAGGGTTTAGGGATCTAGGATTCAAGGTTTAGGGGTTTAGGGGTTTAGGGTTTAGGGGTTTAGGGTTCAGGGGGGTTTAGGGGTTTAGGNNTAGGGTTTGGGGATTAGGGTTTATGGATATAGATCTCAGCGTGAAGGTTGTGCAAGTCAAACCTCACCATGCAGCAACGCATGTTCTTAACCCGAAACCGGATCATGAGCTTGCGAAACTGCAAACCCCATGATACAAGTATATCACCAGCGGAATGATATCGAATGTAAACTTGAACCCAATTCGATCAAGCGCGCCTCTGTGAGTTGAAGCGAATCATCCAGCATGACCACGGCATCGCACAGTCCACCGAGGATTCGATAGAGGGCAGCTAGCTCCAACTCGCTGTTTTTCAGGCTCACACCTGCGTTCAGTGCTTCAGGGGTTTAGGGGTTTAG